AGGCTCTGTGTACAAAGGTTTGTTTACCTTTTTTATTGCATCCAAAAGGATTAACTTTCATGCAAACCAGAAGGAGCTGCAGCACCAGGCAATGAGCTGGCTAGTTCAAGTATATTATATTATAAATATCCCTGAATTATGAATAAAAAAAAAGTAGCTATAAATTACAGTAACCAAGCTAGACAACATTTCAAACTGTACTAGGTACTTCTAGTAAATCTTTTGTAAGTTGTAAATCCAGATTTTGTTTTCAACAAAAGAGAAGTATACTAATTTAAATAGACAGAAAGTTATAAATTAGCATATGCTAGATGTTTTCTTGGTCCCTATTGTCATTATCTAAAAGGTTTCTTCTGTCAAATTTATATAACACGTGTTAATATTTTTAATTTTAAAATCATGATTGTGTTGGATTCTAATGCAATTTGAAGAGTTAACATGACCCAATGGCAATAAACCACTTGATTTTGTCTTTGTGGTTGTCTCTAACAACTGGTATCGATTTAACCCTTCCATTTTGTGATTTGTATTTTATTCATCTTTTGTTTAACAAGATATGCCATGCCTTGTTGATAAGATTTTCAATGTGGACTTTTTTGGCTTTTAAATATATTTTATGCAGTCAAAATCAAATGCACAGTACATTGATAATGTAAAGGGAAAAAATGACAATAATTGTTATAATTTAGGGTGTCTTGTGCTTAATTTGATGTATAAAATAGAACAACTAGATTAATCACTTAGAGAGAATAAAGTGTTTCTCACCCTAATTTTAACGTTTTTAGCATAGATTCATAGATCGTGCATCCATTACCAAGAGAGTTTCCACTTGATGAATATGCCATTTTGTTTTTTCAAAAACACTTTGAAAATATGCTAACAACCATTTTATATATATATATTTTGTCCCACGTCCACAATAGTATCAAAGTGTTCCTCATGAATCATTCTTTCATGTGACACTTATTTTAGTATATATTCCCTTGTGGATTACTCCAACCAAACCATATTATGAAAGAAACTTTGAAATGGCTTTAACCCTTACAATGGCGGAGAAAACAATTCGAAATAGCAATAAAGGAAGCATAGGTGAAAAGAAATTCACATGAAAAAAAAAATCAAAATCAAATGTTGAAGACCTTTTTTTTCAACAAAATGTTAGTTTTTTTATTTTTATTTTTACATAAATAGGCATAGTTGTATGATATTTATTGAAGTGAAACATTTAAGTTAAATTAATTGAAAAATAAAGTATATTTCAGAATATAAAAAACGAGGAGAGTATTCAAAGAAATATTTTTTGAAATACCTTCTTGAACATATTTTATTTTTGAAAATTTTAGAAATTATTTTGGAAGTTTTATTATTTTAGTGTTTTGGAAAAACCATATTTTTATTAGCATATTCTTTTCCATTTTAGTGGAAAGTATTGTAATACCCCAAACAAACATCATTTAGCTGACTATTGCAAAAGAAAAAACAAAACACACAAACAAACAACACAAAAATAAGGGTAAACTAATATATCAAAAAACCTACATATAATTAAAGCGTAAATATTACCTACCACAAATGAATCAAACAATCCTAAGCATATAGTTCTAGATGGACTATCTGGATACAGGTATTGATGTCAAGTTATGGCGGGTCATGCACTTATGATAGCCTCTACTGTTCTGCAGAGCCATTGCCAATGGGTTTCACCCTACCACACACAAGATTAGTCCGATAAAGCACCCTTTTGCCAAATGAAGAAGGTCCCTCAGACTAGGACCTTTTGCTACTCCTCACCACATAATCTCCTCCTCTACTTGAGATAAAACAATTATTGGAGCGTCAAGATAATCCCCAAGACTGAGCTCCTACATCAACACCAACACTAAAGGGCACCACCATGGAACCTCTCCACGAGAATCATGGAATTCCATCCATCTACTATGCACATGATCAACAACATATTCATCATCATCATATATCATACATAATCATAGACATAACCTTATTTTCATTTCGTATTATAAATCAATTCATAAACCTTTCAAACATTCCATATAATATACCAAACAAACATTCCATTATCAATATAGCACTCCTTTATGAGAAAACTAAAGAAAAGAATCAAAAGAACTAACCCACTAACAGGTGCTTAGCGCTACTACCCTAGCGCTCAGCCCCAACACCATTGGAAAAGTGGCGCTCAACGATACTTTCCTGGCGCTCAGCCTCAACACCACTGAAAAAGTAGCGCTCAGCCCTATTATCCTGGCGCTTAGCAATATATCAGAAAATCAACAACTCTAAAACTAGTTTTGGTTGACCTTAATACCTATCCAAATTATCAAAATGGCATCGTAGACAGTGGGAATGATCCAAAAACAGGTTTATAACTTAAATTAAATACCAATTTGGTGATTTGGTTAGGAATCAAGGTTCAATCGATTCAAATGCTTTAAACCAGAATTTTTAAAGTATTGACTAGCCAACTAAGTTCTAAATGACCTCAACGTAAACACCAAACAACAACTTTACTCACAAAATCATTCTTCTAGATTTCATCGATCAAAACCCTCCCTTTCTTGACTAAGACTGATAGCTACACTAACTTATTGACCAAAATCAAAACTCTAAAACTCATATATCAAATTCTAAACATTTCACCTTAGATTTTGTTGAACTAAAAGGCGACACAAGTCTTAAATGACCTAGACACCAACCCCAAACATTAGATTTCTCCCAAAAACCACTCATATATAAATTCATCTATTAAAACACCCAAATTAGACCAAAAACTAGCCCAACACCCTTCCATTTTATTATAACCAATACCATATGAGTTTTTCCTTCACTAGAAAACAGCATCACATATCCAAACAATTCACAATCCACCAACATTCACATTCATATGCATCAAATCACCGACCGATAACACACTTTTAACTAAAATCACATAAACAACTTCACATACCAAATCATCAATTTCTAATTAAAGCAATCATACAACACAATTTATCAAAGCATCAATAACATAAAACAAATGATAATTAGCCTCCTTTACCATTTTAAAAGACCAAATTATCTTAGAAGACCCTATACTGCTTTTACAGTTCAAAAAGCTCTATCTACACCTACAGACAATAGAATCATGATCAGGGTACACCGTTACATCCACTGATCAGTAAAAAACCTAAACTAAAAATACTCAAACCATACATGCGACAAAGCGAAACATCACATGCAATGAAAAATGTGAAATCAAATAAAATAGTAGAAAATTAACTTACTCTTTTTGAGAAACTGGTCGAGTAGACTTGAATATGTCACCCGATAATCACACAACCTCTGATCTTTAAACAGATGAACAAAATGCAATAACTCTTATAGAAAAGACGCATAACTCTAAAATAATGATTTCTAGAGAGATAATATGCTTTAAAATAATGAAATCCGTTTATAACAAATCTATTTATATTAAAACTTTTTAATATTAAAATAAATAAGTTTTATTATTTTTCATCCAGTGTCACTTCTAAAATATTATTTTCTAGGTCCTCATGAGTATTTAATAAAGTTAAAAGGGTATTTTAGAAATTATTTTTTGAAAGGTTAAAAAATATGTTTTGACTAAAGAAACATTTTAATTTGAAGTTCATGAGATAACCAAACTTGATTTTAATTAAATTTGTATGGTACTATAAAAACATTGGAGAGAAACGTGTAGCACAAAATGGAAGTTTACTGAATAAACTTGTAGTGATGATAACCTTCAAATCTAACCTAGTTGTATACATATGGTTACTAACGTTATTTATTTACACTTCCTTTTATTTTTGTATTATTATACAAAATTGAAAACGATTCTTAAACTTTATGACATTTTATTTCTCGTATTTTAAAAAACAATTACTTTAGTATTGATCTTTGACCACGATAAAATTTGTCCAGGTAACAAATAATTTTATATTTTAATATTTCACGTATGATAAAATAAAATGAGATGTATTTAATACTGTTTATATTTATTTTTATACTTTAATATCTAAATAAATAATGTAAAATAAGATATATTTACCTTCATTTTGAGACAAGTTATAAAAGTAAAATATCATAAAAAATAAGTTTTTGACTTTTAAAGGAAAACAAAATATTAAATAAATATAAAAAATTTGTGTATTAAAATATCATTTCTATTCTAATACATATGCTGGCAAGTCTCTACCACTGTTATTTTATTTTTCATAAATAAAAAAATCATTTTATTTTATTTTAGGTCCAAAATTTTAACATTAAAAAAAATGTTTCTTCTTCCTCCGCCTCAACGCCATCGTTATTATCATCTTTTCTTATCAATTACCTGGAACAATCATCACAACTCCATTTCCGTTTTTCAACTCCATTATTAAACCCTTCATTTTCACATCTCCATTCATCCTCTTCTCATTGGTCAGTAAGAATAAAGCATCCCAAAATAAGAACAGAAGAATATTAAGAAAGGTGGAAGAGGGTTTGTTCATCAACACCACCAGTGAAATCACAAACAGAATTTAAAAGCTTGGTCCATGGCCGTGGGAGGAGGCTTGCGATTTGAGCCTAGAGGATGGCCCTGCCATCGTCGCCGCGGGGGCTCTGAGGCTATAAGGCTTAACAAGATTATTAAAATATCATTACAAATTAAAATATACAATTTAAATTTTTGTTTTCGTTATTTTTATAATTTAATATTTCTATATATTTTTTCCTTTTTCTTCATTTTACATATTAGTATGACAACTAGATTTTTTTTAAAATTAAATAGTTGATAATAATTAAAACATCTTTATATTTTGTATCATTTTGCAATTTTGCTATCCAAAATTGATCTTTTTTTTCCACAATGAATGAATGAATTAATTATATAAATAATTTATATTTAAATATGTTTATTTGTATGTATTTTAATATAATCTTGTAATAGATGAGGGATAACTTGGACATTTTATCTACCCAACCGCCACTTGTAATAGATACGGGTTCTGTCTGATACCCATATTAAAACTTGGAATCATTCTTGACCAAAATCCTTTAAGTCAATATGAGACACCGCAGCGCCGCGCCACTCGCAGCGGAACCACCGCAACCCCAACCTTCACTGTCCAATTCGCTTCCTCACCGCAAGAAGAAGCGCAAGCGCAGAGTCCCCGGTCCCGCCACTTCCACTTCCGTTTCCTCTGAAACCAGCTTCGCCAATGATCCCGACCAGCTCAAGAATCGCATTCATGACGCTGCTGTTGAGTTCGAGCAGGAACCTAAAGGGGAACAGGGTATATCCTCTTATCCTTTGCTGGAGCTAAGGCAGAGAAGTGTGAAAGTTGGCGAGAGTTTGGGAAATTCGGTGGTTACGGCCGTCGATGCAGGTGATGCTAAGGAAGTTTGTTCGATTGCAGCGGCAACATCGGAGACGGCGGAGTCGTTGGAGTTAAAGCGTGTTTTGGAAGATGATTCGATCTGTGAGTACAATCTGGCTAATACTTTTTTGGACAAAAATAGTCAATTTAATTGTAAATTATATATGCCATGGTATAAAATTAGTTTCTTGCAATTGGTAAATTGAGAGGGGATTAAAAATGACCATATTTTCTATCTCTTATATTTATTTGATAACTAATCTTTTTATTTGTTTTCTATCTTTTAAGTTATTTTATTCTTGCTTGCCAACATCATGATGTGATGTGGAAAACCCAATAGTGTTTTAAATATTATTGTAGATTTTCAAACTGGCTTGTCTTAGTTCTTTCTTGACATAAAAATATAAATTAAAATTAAAATAAATTTTAAATTGAATAAAAAATTATTACAAAACTTTAACAAAAAATTATGTTTTAAAATACAAATATATAAAATAAATCATTTATAAGATATCAAATTTAAATTAATTATTTAAATATTTTTTATCGTAATTATTTACTTTTATAATATAAAACATATATTTACAAAATATTAAATTTATTTTATTTTATTAATTATTTTATATTTTATATTTTAATTATTTATTTTATTATAATGTAGTAAAGTATTTTACTAAATATCAATAAGTTAAAGTAGTGTTTGATTTTGGTGTTTTAAGTTTTCCAATACATTTGTTTTTAATTTTTTTCTTCACCGCGTAAACATTACATTCCTAAATCAACACATCCTAGTTGAGAAAATCATCATGTGATTGTTAAGAACTTTTATGGTATTGTAAAAGTCAACAAACTTATCCTATACTAATTTGTGAATGGACAATCGTATGATAGTGCATTGATTATTTACTATTTTAACTAATAATATATGTGAGTGCATATAATGTTGAACGTGAGAGTGAAAATATCAAGTTCTGGCCTGTATCCCTGTTTTCTTCCTATGTTTCATCTGTTCATTAATCAGTAGTCAATCTGTAATTTGATTATTTCTAGAAGTTTGTTGCGTTCCTTACCATTTGTCTTGTTTTATTAAGGCATTTATGCTTTACAACGTGTTTTCAGCGAACAAGTCACCCATGTCATACTTTTTTGAGAGAGTGTACTATGGAAATTCTGTGTGGAGCACAACAACTATTGGGGATGAAAAGGGACGAGAAAGAGTTTATGACACTATCTTCCGCTTGCCATGGAGATGCGAATTGGTATTTGGTATACTTTTGTTTAATTCGTTGAAAAATAAGATTAATAAAAGGAACTTTGTATGCCGTTGACAATGTCGTCTAGAGGTGGACTTCAGTCCAGTGTTCATGCTGTAGATGTAACCTTAAACTGTTCACCTACTATACTTAATTTATGTCTGGGTAGTTTTATTAAGATATTCTACCCTTTGTATTATGATTTCTCAAACTTGGAGTGCATTATTGCAGCTTATAGACGTTGGTTTCTTTGTCTGCTTCAATTCGTTTCTGTCATTGTTAACTGTCATGCCCACTAGGATGCTGATGGTCGTTTGGAGGCTTCTGAAAACAAGGTTCATTGCTGTTCTTCAATTTTCTCGTTTAGTACTTTAGTGTTTGCTAAGTATGCTTAGATTTGTGAGGATTTTGATGACGGATTAATCTTGCATTGTTGTTGTGATTTAGATGATGGACTAATACTCTAAAGCAATGTTTTTAGTATTCAGTTTCATAAATCAAAAATTTCTTTAGGGGAAAGAGAACAGGGTGATTTTTTTTACCCCCGTCACTCAGATTAAATAGTTCATTTAACGACACAATAATATATACCTGATTTTTTTAAAAATTATAAGTGGATTACCGTGGTCTGTGTTTACTGAAGAGTTGGAACCAATCTCCGATTTTATGGTACAATATGCTAATTTTTGTGCTTTGATTTATATGCTTTTATACAATGCTCGTGTTCTGTTTTAAGAATTGTGGTTACAGTTCAAGATTTTTCAGTTTTACACTCTGACCTTATCATGCTCATGGCAGGAAGTTCAAAAGGCCATCTACAATTGAGTTTTCAGATTTTAGCTGTTTTCTTATTTTGGCTTGTGGAGTCACTGTTTTGCAGCAAATAGGTATAACGATAGTATGCTTCCATAGTTTTATCTTTTATGTTTCCTTTTTCCATTGATCACGTTCTGTTTATTACTTTGTTGCTATAATAAATTTATTTTAAGCTCCCTGCTTTAAAAATTTTGCTATCTTAGATATCAGCTTAATATATCATATGATCCGTGGTCAAGCAACAATCAAGTTGTATGTGATCTACAATGTGTTAGAGGTGAGTATGAATTAATCTTTGAACGTAAGTTGTACTGATTAATTAGCTCTCCACACATGCTAAATTTCTGGACTTCTGAATGTAATTAGATCATTGTTTGGCATTTTTTCAATAGATAGTGGCCAGAACTTGTGTGATCAAGTGGATATGCCATGATACGAAAGATGTCTATTTTGTATGTGAATCATGAATGTATAAATGGTGTAATATATATGTATAAAACGGCCTTTTGGTTTTTGAACAATTCATTTCACTAATCACACTACTAAAAAATATAAGTTTTTTCTGTCTCCTACATTCTGTTTATTGCATATTGGTCATAATTATCTTGACTTCTGAACTGAAACTTATAGTGACTGGTCCTTGAACCTTCTTGCAGATATTTGATAAATTATGTCAAAATTTTATTGGGGATGTGCTGCAAATGCTATTTCATTCAGCAGAAGAGCTTGCAAGATGCCCCCCTGAAACACAAAGTATGAGATTCTGGATATGGAGATTTATTTCTGACCAAGTTTTAGCCGTTGTTACTTCAAATATCCTTTTTCTTTGAGTTGATAATTTTTTTATGTTTAATTGTTTCATCATATGAAGTCAAGGGATAAAACAAAAGTGCTGGTTATTTTCCTTGACTACCTGTACTTGTTCATTCTGTTATCTTATTAGTTCAGGCAATCACTTTATCAGCCTGTATTGTTTCTCACTACAATGCCCTGCCAGCCCTGCTGGTGTCCAATAATTTTGCTGAGATAAAAAGCTATGTGTTTAAGGGATATAGTAAGGATAACGTTCACAGTATGGTGTACTCTGGTGAGTTATCTTTCTTCTTGTAGTTGTTTTTTCTTTGATTGCGTTGTGTTTTCCTCTTTTATGTGCTCTTATATTCTTTCGTTATTTTCTTTGTCCATTGATCTTATTGCTGACTAGCAGATTCCATAGAGAGATTCCATATATCAGCATTTATCTTATTTGTTTTGGCTCAAAATATTCTGGAAGCAGAAGGACCCTGGTTTATAAGCTTTATCAATGTAAGTTTATTTAACTTTATAGCACCTAAGATATATTGTATGTGTTTATTAAGGGGAAATAAATGTCATTGCTTGGTTCGGTCTTGCTCGTATCACAGTTATTTTGTGTGGTGCAGAATATCCTCTTGGTTTATCTATTTGAGATGGCTATAGATGTGATCAAGCATTCATTCATTTCCAAATTTAACAACATTTCACCCATTGCATATTCTGAGTTTCTTGAAGTCCTATGTAAACAGGTATTAATTTGATTTCATGTGCGTGTTAGCTCTGCAATATGATTAGTACTTACTGCTTAAATTCGAATTGTACTCGAAAGCAAGAACACTTTCTATACTCAATTGCAAATGCTTTTGAAATCATTAGCTGCAGCCTGCAGAATGTTCTGTTGAGAAAAGGGTTGTATTCCTGTGTCCCTAACTTTTTTATTGGGCAACATGGACGAACAGAAACATAATCGAGTTCCACGTTTTGGCTCCCCCCAACTTGCAATTCACTATTTCTCTCATTTCGTAGTCGTATTATTTATCCGCATATGTAATTTAGAAAGGCTGTTGATGCCAAGCGGCTTGTACCTTGGATAAAAAGAAAGTTAATATTTTATGGCTCTTATCAAACAAATTTTCTCAATAGTCCAGTGCTAGTATGCTCCATGTCTACCCAATGATGCCTATAGTACATAATTATTCCAACATGCTGCTAGGATAAGCCACCAAAGCCTTTTACTCATTAGTTATTGGTGCTCGCTGATGCATAACAATCTCTTAATGAATTCATCGTGAAAATTAGTTATCTGTACTTTGTTAGTTTCATTGGAGTGTGTATAGGCTTGTACTTTTGTGTTACAAGAAGAGAACAAGAGAACAGTATTTATCCTTCTATTTATATGTCAAGAAAAACCATATTTTGAATCTTTTGTTTTGTGTTAATGTGTTGTATTTTGGAGTAACTTATTGTCTATTTTCTTTGATGGACGTTTTAGAATATACGATTGACTGCTGCTTTTGTTTTGTAGACTCTACATATTCAAACCGAGGATGCAAAAAAAAAGTTGACTTTTGTCCCTCTTGCTCCAGCGTGTGTGGTAAGCACGAATTTAATGTAATGTCCTTTTTCTCCTTGGTTTATGGCTGCTGATGGATGTCTGTCTATTTCCCCCACCAATTTTTTTCGTTCTTAGGTCATTCGAGTTCTGGCTCCAGTTTATGCCGCTAACCTTCCTTACAATTCCCTTTCATGGAGGCTATCTTGGATTCTGTTATTTTCGGCAATAACCTACATTATGCTAACAAGCCTCAAGGTTCTAATTGGCATGGTTCTACAGAAGCATGCCAGATGGTATGTTAATCGCTGTCAAAAGAGGAAGCATCATCTTCATGCAGATTAACTTGTGGAGCACAACTAAATTAATGCAGATCAACTTCCAGCGCCAAGGAAACACATACACGTAAAATATTGTACGCATGCAGGTAATCTTTGAAGCATGTGCAGTAATGCTCATCAAAGATGTGCATTTGAGCTTGTAAATGATTGTGTATGTATGTACATTATACACATTTCCATTTATCGTCTTTTATATGATTTTCACGAAGCTAATAGTTTATTAGACAACAAAAATGTCTTTGTGCACATGTAAAATGTTCTGTAGCTTCTACCTTATTTTTGAATTAATCTATTATGCCATTTTTTCCTGCTCAACTGCTGTAGCTTTGAATTGATGCAACTCTGCAAATTACTGGTGTTTTAGATTCAAGTATTTTGGGCTCAACAACGAGACTGTTATCTAGTTCTCTAGAGGGGAATTTGCAATCAAAATCGAACCCCATCAAAGTTTTCGGAAAATTTTATCCGAAATATGAGTGGGTGAGTCTCTTTTGGAAAAATATTTTCGTAATTGATTTAGAGTGTTTGGAAAAATAAAATCCGAAATGATGGGGTGAAGGGAGAAATTTGACGGGGTGCATGAAGAAACAGCCCTATAGTTTCTAAAGTTAATCGTTTTAGAAAAACTGGGTCAATGAAGGGCTGAAGCACGTCCTCTACGGAGACCTTCCTCTTTATTGTGTTGATATTTTTTAAGGACGAGCAGTTCAATTTTTACATTAGATTTCACCTTTATTTTTGTTTAGTTTCTCAATTACATTGATTAATATATTTATATATTTTTATAATTTTTTCTACTTGCACCACTAGCTTTGATATTAAGTCTGATTAATTATTGCACTTGTAATGAATTTTTTTACATGGCATAATTAATTGTTAACGAGATATATTTTTTTATGAAAACAAATGTAAGAAAATGTTGCAATTGAAGTTTAATTGAAGATGTTTTATTCTTTAGATGCATTTGACGATGATTGAATTCACACACACACACACATATATATATATATATATATATATATATATATATATATATATATTTAAATGCTTACTTTATCTCTATGTTAAAAGGTGAATTTCTGTTTAGTACTTGATTTTAAAATTGAATCTATTGACTCTCAAAGTTGTAAAAATTATATAAATAAAGTCTCCTCTGTTAAGTTAGTATAAACAAAGTTAAGTCAGTGCTGACGTGGCTATAAAATCTGACTTTTTTCTTCTCTCTCATATGTTCTTTCTACAATGTTTAACTTTTTCTCTTTCTATATTAATGATTTTTATAAGCGAACATTTTTTTTTTCTTTTTCTCTTTTTGCAGTTTGGTGGTGACGGAGAAGTGGTCCTGAACGGTAGTGATAAGGATGTAGAAGTGGAGGAGGAGGAATAGGGAGAGGATGGGAATGGAGATAGGTGTTTTGTGGGAAATGGACCACCACTAGTAAAAAAATGGGATATTACCGTGCCCGTTATGCATCGGTTCACCAGAAACCGAAGCATAAAATGGCGCGGTGGCATTTTTGAAATTTTCTCGACAGTATAGGCCTCGGTTGCCATTGAACCGATGCTAAAGAGGGTATATGACCACGGTTGTATGCAGAACCACGGCCAAAAACCCTTGCAATAATCTGACAGTCTAGTCTCCTGGTTATTGAAAATCCCTGTGCAGGAGATATGGCTGTTGTTGTCTGCAGAACCGCGGCCTAAAACCCTGACAGTTCACATTTTTAGTCTGTTGTCATAAAGGTTGAAGTCAGACTGTCAGGGATATGGCTTCGGTTCCCCTCCGAACTGCGGCCATAGACCTGATCTTAACAAAATCTAAATATTTAAGTAAAATATAATTTTTAGATTAGGATTTGGCCTCAGTTCGGCGGGGAACCGTGACAAAAAGGTTTAAAAATTTTCAAAATTGTCATTTCAGATTGATTTTGAATTTTTTTTTTAAGAGAATAGGCATCGGTTGTGTGTGTAACCGAGGCCATATCCTTGATATTACCGCGGTTTTACTGAGAACCGAGGTAATATCCTTTCGTAGGTTAAAAAAAAGAAAGCAAGAGAGGAACAATGTCATCTTTCTCGCGATTGAAACAATTTTTGCATTCTCTCTCGACACAACACTGTGTCGCGCTCCTTCTTTGCCAATTTTTTTGCAATTTTCACCGTTTAATCTTGATTTTTCTTGTTGCTGTGGCCATCTTCAAGGTTTAGGAAGCTTTTTAGCCGATCAAAATCGTTCCAAACGTCTCTTTGATTTGGTGTTTTCGATTCCCCCTTAGAGGTAAATTTTCGATGTTTTTTTTTTTTTTTTGCATTTTGATGTTTGATTTTGTTTCTAAAACTAATATTATTTTGTATATTGTTGTATGTTTGAATTTTGCAGAGTTCAATTTTCTACCTTTTGGATCGCGGGTTGTTCTTTGTTATAGGCTTTTCACACTATCAGGTTCTTATATTAATATTTAAAGTTTACTTTTTAATAAGATTATATAATTTTGTATGATTGTGTGATTGAATATGTGATTGGATGATCATATAATATGTGTATAATATTTAGGATTGAAAAATTTTGTATGATCGTATAATTTTTTGTATGATGGTATGATTTTAAAGTTTATTTTTTTAATTTTACAATGTTATTTTAAAATTTGTTATGTTGAATATGTGATTATTTCAATACTTATTAATTATATGATTATATGATTGAATTGAATTAATCTTAATTTGTCATTAAATGTTCACTACAAAATTAATTTTTGTAATATAATTTTGTAGAATATTTCAAAATATTTACGTATGGATTGAAATTGGATTAATTTACCACGCATTAGTGCTGAGTATGAGAGAGTGGTAGAGAAATTTATACAATTTGCGCAACGTAATGAGAGTAGAAGTGATGATGAAGTGAAATTTAGATGTCCCTGTGTGAACTGTTTGAATGCGAGAAAGTTGAACGCAACCCAAATTAGAGAACATCTTATCTGTGATGGTTCCCTAAGATGCTATACAACATGAATATGGCACGACGAAGAAATGCACTTTCCGACTGACTCCCAAACTGAAAATGTTATTGATTCCACCATGAAAGAAGATCGACCGGATGAAGACAAATTAGAGGACATGATCCGCGATGTTGGCGCAGAAAATTTTGCCAAAGCTAATGTGCATGAGACGATGTCGACTGATGCGAAAATGGTTCAACTAAGTTTACACGTTTGTCAGCGGTGTTAAGGCTCATGAATTTGAAGGCGACTAATGGATGGACTGATAAGAGTTTCACAAAGTTGAATGAAATGCTGCCAGATGGAAATACACTACCCACTTGTAATTATGATGCGAAGAAAATTCTTTGTCCGATGGGTATGGAGTATAAAAGGATATACATTCTTCTCATACTTTGTTGTGGCTTGCAAATGGTTTGAAGTTTGATGTCGTGTGTTGTACAGGTTATGAAGTCAATAATTGCACATTTTTTACGAAGACTTTGGATGATAAAAGCACAATACAAAATAATAGAGTCAGTTTAGAAGCTGAGTCACTTCAATTTTCCACATCAAAAGATCAAACTCCTGTACTTGCATCAATGAGATATTATGGTATAATAGAAGAGATATGGGAGGTTGATTACACCAACTTTTTTGTTCCATTGTTCAAATGTAAGTGGTTTGACGATAAGAGTGGTGTGAAAATAGATGAATCGGGTAAGACACTAGTTCATTTTCGAAAGGTGGGTTCTCGAGACAAACCGTTTATCATGGTACATCAAGAATCTCAGGTTTTTTTATGTTAAAGATCCTGCGTCTGACCATTGGTATGTCGCTCTTCAAGGCAAAAAATAAATTGAAGTTAACAAAGGCAATCTGATTAATATTCATATTCCTAACAACCATTCATTTCAAACTACGACAAATTTGGATGACCAACCTCTAGTTGACGATGTACATGCAATTCAGTCAAATCATAATGAGGGAATATACATATGATCAATCCATATCTTTATGTATGAATTTCAAATTTGTGTATAAGTTTTTTATTAATATTACATAAGTTTGTTATTAATATTTCATATAACTACTATTACATGTTTTGTTAAATTATATGATATTACATAAGTCTTTTATTAATATTACATGTTGTTATTTATTTTGACAGATATATGGCTGACCATCCACATTCATAAGGGGATGAGGCTCCCTCATCCAGACATACTAGAGGACCCACCAGAATGAAACAACTTTTGGTCAGAAAAAATAGTGATGAAAGAACACCCATGAATGTTAATGTGATCACGGGTGTGGCATCTGGCCCAAATGCAGATGACTTCCGATCATACCTTGGAGTAGTTGCGCGTGATAGGATTAGTATACTTACTCCATCTTTTGACCATGTGTCCGAGGTTGATCGGAACATTATATGGAACGATATATTTGTAAGTTAATTAATATCATTTGAATTACAATTTGTTTATATTGATAATTTTGTACTGATACAACTTTATTATGTTTATTGCAGATGACATTTGATATTCCAAATGTCGCAACACTTAGAAATAAGTATTTATCAACTATTGCTGAAAACTTTTGGGGTTTTAAGAGTAAGTTGACCTCGAGATATATATTTGGAGGCCAAAAAAAATGAGACTCCATGTACAAAATATAAGGCCATTGATGAGGAGACTTGGCGCCTCTTTGTACAGAGTCGGACATAAGAGGAATGGCAGGTTAGTATAGTTGATATTATTCAATTCCTCATTAACAAATATATATCATATGAACTAATTAATTCAATTATGTGACAGGCAAAAAGAAGCAAAGCACAAGGAATAAGTGCTCAAAATAAAAACCCCCACCTATTATCTCGTGGTGGGAATAGGAAGCTTGAGGAGAAAATACTCAAGCAAAAGGCATAAGGTAGACCATCATTTGAGGGTGGTAGCCCCAAGCATCCTTCTCCACCTTCTCGACATGAGAAATGGAAGTTGGCTCGTTTAAGATCATCGGGCGCCTACTCTTTTGATACTGCACGGGAAATAGCTGAAACAATTGTAAGTTATCACTGTTCCTAAAATAATAATAGTTTCATTATACATACTATCTTGAACTTTTTTAAGAATAATGGTGTTTTGTTATGTTACAAGACTCCTTGGTTAGACAGAGCTCCCAAGGTCAATTCACTCCAGAGGGTCGCCAGGATATTCTTACCATTGCAATTGGACAACCTAAGCACCCTAGATGTGTGCGTGCTGCTGGAACTGGAGTAGGCATTCGAGATTATTTTGGGAGTTCTTCTTGTCAGACTTCTTATGCATATAGCAAAGCACAAGAACAAAGGCTGCCACAAGAGATCTGAAAAAAACTTAGTGCGGACCTTAGGGAGGAGCTTAGGGCAGAATTGTATAAGGAGGTCACTACAAAAGTGACTGACAGAGTTATGTGCCAGTTCCAACAGCAGTTTGAGAGTTATGGCATGCACCCGCAGCCATCTCCTGTACAGGAACAAGAACATGTTGTACCTCCCATAGGTAAAATTAATAAACATTCATGTTCAATAATTTCTATTTTTTGTATTAACATGTTGCTCAGCACCAGCCGTCCCAGGGGATGACATGGACGATGTTAGTCCATGTCTGCTATACGTTTTAGATGGTACCGAAACGATGCTGGTAGCTCGTGGAACATTGTTTCAGCTAGCGACTATTGTTCATGGTATGGAGCTATCAGAGGATGAGGTGAAGGTCTCAATAGACGACATTATCATACCAGATGCCTCGATTCCTCTGCCCACAAATGAGATTTTCACTGTGGCACATGCATTCCAGTCTTTTATCGCTTGGCCTAAACACTTGGTTGGTTCGGTTTCTGACCCCCCAGTATGGAAATCTACTTTACACTTCTCAATTTTAAAGTTTACATGTTATTGATGTCAAAACTTATTTTATTTTTTCATGTAACAATAGACGCAAGCATAGGAGAAGATTCGTTTATCTGAGGATGATCCTCTTGGTGCATTGCAGCAACTTTGTGACATCATTGCAAATGAGCCTTTGGAGGTTGAATATGATACTAATGTATTTGGGAGAGGCTATGAGTTCCTAATATACCTGCATAGCCAAGATGTCAGAGAACTTGTGTCGGGAAGAGAAGATTTGAATATTACATTAGTTCAGCTATGGATAATGTAAGTCTATGAGAAATTATTTATATAAAATTGATTTATATATCAAGTATACTTATATCAAAGGTAATTTTTTATTTAAGGTATATGTTTGGTGTCAGTAACAACTTGGGGTACAATGATGTCTATGGGTTCATTGATCCCCAAGTCATTCACGAAACAAATGATTTTGATGAGAACACAACATATCTCACAAGTAGATTTGCAAGCGGGAAGGACATACATTTTATTCCTTATATATCTGGGTAAGTGAATTTTGTTGACTTAATAAAGTTCCATATGTGATTTTAATATATAACAATTAAGTTATTATCAATTTCAGGCACCATTGGCAGCTACTTATTATTTTTGTACCGGAGAGCTATGCTTTGTGGTTCTGCTCATTGCACAAGTCTCTTCCCAAACATCTCAGACAAGCAGTTGATTGGTAAGAACCTCAATGTTTGGACTTTCTTTGTTATATAAATGAATGCTAAAACCTTTTTTTTAGGTTCAATGTCGCGGTAGGTCCCCATTTTGGTCAAAATTTTCAAATAGGTCCCCTTTCTTTTTTTTGTCTCAATTGGGTCCCTTTTTGTGTAAAATTTGAGCAATTAAAGGCCTACCATCAAATTGGGTAAACGACCATTTGAATGTTGGTTACGTGGTATGGTCAGAGTTCACGTTAATGAGACGTGGCATTATAAACAAATTTTGTATTAAAAATTATGAATGCATAGTGGTGTAATCAGCTTTTTGGAAGGACACAGTGGAAATAATAAAAAACTTTAAGTGCAGCCATCACCGCAACCTCCATGACCGTCATGTGAAGCCTCCCTCGTCCTCGACCTCCCTAATGCTGCAAGCCAAGTTCGCATCTTCATCATCTCCACCAGAAACGTAGATCTGCAGTGCCTCCATGGCAGCCACCAGGGAGCGAAATCTTCTCCATCCACCATCGTCAGAGCACCGTAAGCTTTTTCCTGCGCGCGCCATCATAAATCTCATTAACACCGAGTTGCAAGTCCTCCATGGCACCCAGCAGAATCGCGAATCGCGCCACTCCTCGCGAGTTTGTCATCTACATCATCGGACCTGCAAAGCAAAATCCAGAGAAGAACAAAAATGTCGGTCTCTCACCGAACCTCCGCCGTGGTGCATCCATCTCCCTCGCATCTTCATCGTCAACTTGCAAGCAGAAAACCACAAGAGGCGCACCACCAGAAACCAACCCAGAATCTTCTCCACCATCACCAAGCATCACCGTCGCCGCTGTTGAAGCCTAAATCACCTCGACCACCATCGCACCGCCACTTTCTCCATCGTCTCCATCAACTTGTGAATCAAAAACACACAGAATCCAATTCGCGGCGCAGGAAGGAAGGCCTTCTTCCAACTTCCAACGCTAATTTGTTCCTCACACGAACCCTACCCCTAATTTTTTCCCCAATCTCAATTACATTTGTCAATTAAAGGGGTCTACACTTAAAGTTTTCTATTATTCTCACTTTACCCTTCCAAAAAGCTGATTACACCATTATGCATTCATAACTTTTAATACAAAATTCGTTTATAATGACACGTCTCATTAATGTGAACTCTGATCATGCCACGTAACCAACATTTAAGCGGTCGTTTGCCCAATTTGAAGGTAGGCCTTTAATTGCTCAAATTTTACACAAAAAAGGACCCAATTGAGACGAAAAAAAGAAAGGGGACCTATTTGAAATTCCTGACCAAAATGGGGACCTACCGAGACATTAAACGTTTTTTTTATATAGTTCTATTTCAGCAAGTATGATGTTGGTTAGGAGATCAAATGCTAACCGTAGAAAGCTTGCATGGATTGCTCTCAAGGTTTGACATATGCTAAAGCCATACTTTCTTATAGTTATTTTGTTATAATGATTTTCACTAACTATTTACAACTGTGATGATATATTGTAGTGTAACAGACAGAGCGGGTCATATGAGTGCGGATACTATGTAATGTATTGGATGACCTACATTATTCGTGCCCATATCACAAGAGGCTGGGAAACGGTAATATCTAAATTTAATGAATCTTGATTTTCTCCAACATTTGGAATTCATATACACTAATTAATATCAATTGTCTTGTACAGAGATTCAAGACTCCTACTCCAATTCCTGAGAAGCCACTTACATTCTTGAGGAAGGCAATTGCAAAACATTTAGTTAGATTATATAATAGTTCACAGTTATTAGATTTGTCGGAACAATCGGTACCGTTATAGAGTCGCGCATCGGAATAAAATACTCGAAAAGCGTGTTACGGTCACAAATCAAGTTATGATGGTCCGTTTTAGAAAATCAATTTTCTTAGAGAAAATTTAACAAACAATTGATGTGCATAAAACAGTAACGAGTGTAAGGAATAAAAAAGTTGACACACTGGATTTTTATCCTGGTTCGATTCAAAAGAATCTACGTCCAGTTGTTAATCACTATAAAAAGTGATTAACGATTTCACTAAAATCAGTTTCAACAAAATACAATTAAGAGTGAATAAAAATAGAAAGATAAAACCTTCCTTCGACCAACAAAATGGAAACAAGCAATCTACACTTTCCTTCGACTGACGAACCGGAACAGTGCAGAACAGTTCTTCCTTCGACCAACGAACCGGAAGAACAGTAGCGTTGCCAACTCGAAGAGAATCGCTCCGACCTTTGACCCACAAAGCGTGAGCTTCTCCTTTTCACGAGACTAGGCAGTGCAATGAACAAGCTTATGGAACTTCCTCATATCACACTGTATTCTCAAAAGCTCAGAGTTCTTTTCTAAGAGTTCTGGAAATAACTTATATAGCCAACTGGTCTAAGTTCGTAGAGATGAACTATAACTGCCACAGATAATCGATTATTGTTAGTGATAATCGATTATTTGAGTCCGTTACAAGGTTTTTCAAAAGTGATAATCGATTATCCTGAGGAATAACCGATTATTCCAGAGACTTTGACAGTTCTCATCAGAACTAGTGATAATCGATTATTTGGAGTAATAATCGATTATTCCAGAGCAACGAGGTTTTCCAGAAGGACTCAGGATAATCGATTATAGCTTCTAATAATCGATTAAATGCGTAACAATTCTAGAAATACGAAATTTTCTAAGTATTACATGTTTAAGGCTTTTCCTAATACATTAATAATCTACAAAGTACTTTTAAAACAAATATAACAATATATCGTCTTTCAGCATCATCAAAATCATTTATCTTCAAATTTACCAATGCTCCTCATTGGTAACAAGATTTAAAATACATTAGACATGTTGATTTATATTTATTAGACTTTGTACATTATGTGATGTAAATATTGACTATTGTGTTGAATATGTTGAATCTGTGTTGTTATAATATTGTTTGATATGCAGGTTTGTTTTTGTGATAATGGATATCACAAAAACATACCTGCTATTAAAAAAAATTGTAGGAGAATAAGTCGTGGTTGTGGTCAAAACTGAAGCCATGGGGTGCACGTGATTTTTAAAATAAAAATATGGCTTTGGCCGCGGTTCAAGCTAGAACCGCTGTCATATCCCCACGTTATTACCTCTGTTGAACTGAGGTAATAACCCCTCCCCCCTTTTTTTCTCTTCTTTACTACTTCGGTTACTAAAGAACCGAGGCAGTATCCTTCAGGATATTACCTCGGTTGGAACCGTGGCTAAAAGTCCCAAACCTTTTTACCTCGTCCGTATATGTCGCGGTTCTAAAACTGAAGCGTATATTAAAAAACAACCGCGGTTGTTTCCCTTCACTACACTAGTGCACCACAAGCCACCACTGCAACCTAGCACCATCGTTGATCATCTTCACCGCCATCAAACCCTATTTCGCCTCACCACCATCAACACAGACCTGCAATCAGAAAAACCCCAATCGCGAAGCCACTACAAAGTTGTCACACTCATCTTCTTCACCAAAAACCTACATGGCTTCACGTAACCAGGACACCACCGACTGAAACGTAATAGTTTTATTGAATATTGCCTCAACCAAGTCGCGTCCTCATGATGATGGACTTAGAGTGATGATGATGGAAGTGGTTGAGTCAAAAGTAATTTGTAGTTTATGGAGGGTCTGGAATTTTGATTTAGTAGGGATTCCAATATGGGCATGGGTATTGGAATTGAAAAATTGTGATGAATTGGTTGAATTAATGGTTGGGGTTGAATGTTTCAGGAAGGCTCTTTGGGTGATAAAGATACAAAGGAAAATAAAAAAACCTTGATTGGGGAGAGAAAAAGAGAGAGAGAAAAAGATGGCAGCAATAGTAGAGGAAAGAGAAAAAAAGTGCAGTCAGGTCAGCACGGACTTAACTTCGTTTATATTAATTTAACGGAGGGGACTTTATTTATATAATTTTTACAACTTTGGGACTCAATAGATTCAATTTTAAAACCGAGTACTAAATAGAAATTTGTCTCTTAACATGAGGGCGAAGTAAGCATCTAAGCATATATATATATATATATATATATATAATGTTTTCTTTAATGATTTAGTTACATTTATTATATTACTTTACATGTTTTTAAGTTGATCTTAAATTTTTATTTTATAATTTTGTTTATTAAAAGATTTTAATAATTTAAATATTTAATCTTATTATTTTATCAGTTTCTTATTTAATTTTGATACTTAATGAGGCATGTAAGAAATCACATGGTATAGGAAATTGTAGTTAGAAGAAATGCATCAGAGTGACTATTATAAAGCAATTAAGAAATTGTGGCAAGTGTTAGTCCCTAAATTAAGTGTGGCCTTTGATAGGTTTGATATCAAATTTCTCATACTACTTACAGTCATATATTAAATTAAATATTTAGTTTCTTATAACATACATACTGTACTTTATGAAAAATATGATTGGAGTTAATGATTATTTATGGACAGTTAACAAGCATATTAGCAGGTATTAATGGGTTTGATTGCCTAAAATATATTGCGTTAATGGTTAATCAATGTGCTTGACTGCTACAAGCCCTATAAATATACGATTGATGTTGAGATAATATCTACTTGATATATCCTAATAAAATAAAGACTTCTTTGAAAAAGATATCTGACTTGAGCGTCAGAGTGTCTTCTGTAAGTCAACAACCCATCGGAGTGAATTGCGTTCTCGGAGAGGATTGGACAATTGAAAGAGAGCAGAGCAAGTAAGGAAGACCGACCCTCGGACAATTTCAACCGAAACATTTGGAGCCCATCATGGGACCAAGCGACATTCCCATGAAACCACGAGGAACCAGACGCGCGCTCGGTCTCAATTTCGCTACTTCAGATCAATACTAGGTTTTGCAACAAGAGCAAAAGATTTCATAATAATTTCTAAAGGCATGTCTTTTGTTTTAAGAACTTTCAAGAAGGTTCAATCCCTTACCGCTTGGTCGATTGGACCATCAACATTCAACCTTATCAAGTTTTAATGCCATCTCATTATAAAAACAAAATGTTGAATATTTTATTTAACGCATATTTTTGTTAGTAAAAATATCCTACACAGGAAGGTTCAATCCCTTACCGCTTGGTCAATTGGACCACAAAGTTCAACCTTGTCAGGTTTTAATAGCGTCTCATTATAAAAATAAAATGTTGAATATTTTGTTTAACGCATATTTTTGTGAATGAAAATATCTTGCATAGGAAAAAGTTTCAAAGAAAACTCCTAGCGTCTACTGCTCAACATAGGAAAAAGTTCTAAATAGGTACTCCTATCAGTCGTCGCTCGACCTAGAGAAAAAGTTTCAAAAAGAACTTCTAGAGCCTCTGGTCAACATAGGAAAAAGTTCTAAAAAAGAACTCTTATAAGTCGTCGCCCAACCTGTGTTATTTGCTTGGCCGTTTGGCCTTATAGCATAAGTTATTTTGATATTAATTGTCTAACCTCATAAGTGTGTTGGTTTGATTGGCAATACTTTTCTTGACAAGTTCAAATTTGAATTGTTATTTTTCTTCAGTGCAGATAACAGGATCCTAGCGTCTACTACCCAACATGAGAAAAAGTTCTAAAAAGAACTTTCATCAGTCGCCACTCAACACGGGAAAAAGTTCTAAAAAGAACTCCTATCAACATAGAAAAAAGTTTTAAAAGGAACTCTCATTAGTCGTCGCTCAACATGGGGAAAAAGTTATAAAAAGAACTCCTATCAACATAGGAAAAAGTTCTAAAAAGAACTTTCATCAATCACCGCTCAACATTGGAAAAAGTTCTAAAAAGAACTCCTATCTACATAGGAAAAAGTTCTAAAAAGAACTCTCATCAGTCGCCACTCAACATGAGAAAAGTTCTAAAAGGAACTTCTATTAACATAGGAAAAAGTTCTAGAAAGAACTTTCATCAGTCACCACTCAACATGGGAAAAAGTTCTAAAAAGAACTCCTATCAACATAGGAAAAAAAATTTTAAAAGAAATTCCATTAGTCGCCGCTCAACATGGGAAAAAGTTATAAAAAGAACTCCTATCAACATACGAAAAAGTTCTAAAAAGAACTTTCATCAGTCGTCGTTCAACAATGGAAAAAGTTCTAAAAAGAACTTCTATCAACATAGGAAACAGTTCTAAAAAGAACTTCTATCAACATAGGAAAAAGTTCTAAAAAGAACTCTCATCAATCGCTACTCAACATGGAAAAAAGTTCTAAAAAGAACTCTCGTTAGTCGACGCTCAACATGGGAAAAAGTTATAAAAAGAACTCCTATCAACATAGGAAAAAGTTCTGAAAAGAACTTTCATAGTCGCCGCTTAACATTGGAGAAAGTTCTAAAAAGAACTCCTATCAACATAGGAAAAAGTTCTAAAAAGAAGTCCTATCAACATAGGAAAAAGTTCTAAAAAGAACTCCTATCAACATAGGAAAAAGTTCTAAAAAGAACTC